AATTTGACCAACGATGATCTTCTCTCGAATGAAGTGACGCTCTAATTCTATATGCTTATTCCTATCATGCTGAATGAGATTTATTGTAGTGCTAATGGCAGACTTGTTATCAGAAGTGAGAATGAAAGCTACACTGGAAGGCATAAGTTTGTCATCAAGGTTATTAGCAATAACAACTCACATACCCCAAGAGTCATAGCCCTACTCTTTGCCTCTGTATTAGATGGAGAAATAAAATCTTACTTCTTATTAAGTAACCAAGTTGCCACCAACAGCTGTATAGTTGGCCTGAAGTTGACCTCCTATCTAAGACTGATCTTGCATAACCAGCATCTGTCCAAGCCTCAACACATAAATGACTATGATTGGCGAACAAAATACCACGACCCAGACACCCCTTTAGGTAGCGAAGGATCTGAATAGCTGCATTAAGGTGAGCAGTACGTGGTGTGTGCATGAATTGACTCACAAGATAAGTAATGTCAAGTGGAGTGATGGATAAATAGATGAGCTTCTGAACAAGTCGTTGATATTGACCAACAAACGATAATAACTTCCCCTCAAAATCAACCAACCGATGATTCTACTCAATTGCAGTATTAGCATGACGAGCGCTTAGGTGGCCAGAAGCAAAAAGCAAGTCAAGAACATACTTGCGTTAAGAGATGAAAATGCCAGCCTTGGAACGAGCCACCTTAATGCCCAAGAAATACCCAAGGGGACTAAGATCCTTAATCTCAAACTGACGGCCAAGATGGCTCTTAACCTTAGGAATTCTGATAGTGTCATCTCTGGTTAGAATAGCATCGTCAACAACATCAACTGTCTTGCCGCCTGAATGATGTAATAACGAGTTATGATGATCGGTTCCACTGTGATGGAAACCAAGTTGGAGCACGGTAGGGCTAAAGTGATCAAACTAAGCTCGAGGAGACTGCTTGAGGCTATATAGGGAGCGACGAAGATAACATGACCATACTGGAATGAGCTGGATAATGAAAGGCCCGCCGGGGGGGGGGGGGGGGGTGGGGCATTGAGAAATGCATTCTTGACATTTAAGTCCAAGATCGAATCGCAGTAGTGGAAAATAATACGTGGATAGTGTTCATCTTAACAACGGTGGCAAAAGTCTCCAGATAATCTATGGCATGGGTCTGATAATAACTTTTGGCAACCAACTAGGCCTTATAATGAGCAACTGACCCATCTAGATTATGCTTATCTGTAAACACCTAACGACAACCCACAACATTTCATCCAACAAGAAGTGGAACCATGTCCCATGTTTGATTTTTCTCTAGTGCTTGCAGTTCCTTGGATATAGTGTCACGCCACTGAGGTTGTGCTAATGCATCTGCAACACTAAAAAGAAGAGGAACCGAGGCAATATACACAAGAAAACTCCAATAGGAAGGTGAGAGAGCACAATCAGAAGCAAAATTTGAAATAAGGCAAGTACAAGAATGTTTACCCTTTTGAAGAGTAATGGGACAATCAAGCGAAACAATAGCTTGAGAAGGCGGAGCTGGTGCCGAAGGGACAAGGCAGTCAGTTGTGGGAGTATAAGCTTGTGCCTTTTGTTTGCGACTGTGGCTAAGGAACTATTCCCCTTGTTGGAGGGGTATCACAAGGAGGAATACTGGAATATGAAACAGAAAAGGTAGAGAAGTTGAGGACGAAAAGAGGTGATCATAAACCGTGTTCAATAAGAACCACTCACTTTGAGAACCAATTGAACCACTATAGTATGGTGTATGCTTAAAGAAAGAAACATCTATGGATGTTAAACTATCGACGACTAGGAGGATGATAACACCTATAACCTTTTTGAGATTGAGAATAGCCCAAAAATACACACACTTCAATGCCTTGGGGTCAAGCTTTGTATGAGTTTGTCCCAACTGTTGAACAAAGCGCACACACTCGAACACTCACAGAGGAATCAGAAAAAGAGATTGATTTGGATGTAAGATTGAGAGTGGGGCTGAAAAGTTACGATAGAAGGTGTTGTATTAATGATGTAAACAAGTGTAAGAACTGCATCTCCCCAAAACTACTGGGAAACATCATGCCAATACAAATGGCTCTCCCTAAGTCGAGGATGTGGCCTTTTTTTCTCTCACAACGACCATTCGGTTGAGGGGTTTGAATTAACCATCTAATGCTCAATCCCAAATTTTGTACCTTCCATAGTTGTTAAAGGCGCCGGAGGCGCAAGGCGCCACCTTGGTGCCTTGATTGACTTAAGGCGAGGGACTTGATATAGGCGAGCGCCTTTTGGGATAAGGCGCTGGGCTACAAGCGAGATGCAGGCGCGCCTGTTTGAAAAATAATTTTTTTTTTTTAATATTTTGTTATTATTTTGGTTGTGTAACTTGTCTTACTTGTATATTTTATTATTTGTTTATTTCTATTACAAAACCTATATACAACTTGCAAGTTACAAAGCAAAAAAAAAAAAAAAAGAAAAAGAAATCAAAAGGCAAAAGGAACGAAGAGACTCCAGAGACAGAGAAGAGAGTAGAGACAGAGAAGTATGACTGTACAAAGCGCCGAAGCCTGGACTCCGACTCTCGGATCTGCCGGATCTGCGTTTGTGCCGAAGCCTGGTAAGTTCTCCTCCCCTCTCTTCTTCTTCTCTCCTTCTTGCTTCTTCTTCTCTTGAGTCTCTTCTCGGTACTTTTTTTTTTCTCTTTTCTTCTTCTTCTCTTCTTCTTTTCTTCAGTTCTTCTTCTTCTCTCAGCTCTCTCGAGTCTTTACTCCCTAGTCTCTTTTATTTTTTTCTTCTTTGAGCCGATACCTCTTCTTTTATTTATTTATTTATTTTTTCCCTCTATTCTTCTTCTCGTCTCTCTTGCTCTTCTTTTATTTATTTTTTTTTCTCTATTCTTCTTCTCTCGACTCTCTCTGCTCTTTTTTTTTTTTTTTTTATTCTTTTATTTTATTTTATTTATTTTTTTATTTTATTCTTGTTTGAGCCAAGTCTCGGCTCTTCTTTTATTTTTTTTATTTTTATTTTTCTCTATTCTTCTTCTCTTGGCTCTCTTGCTCTTCTTTTATTTTTTCTTCTTCTCTCGGCTCTCTCTGCTCTTTTTTTAATTTTTTTATTTATTTTTTTAGGCTGGTCCTCTGTTTTTTGACCTTTATTTGTTTGGTCCTCTGTTTTTGGTCCTCTATTTGTTTGGTCCTCTGTAATATATAAAAGAATTAATTGATGCATGTGAGATACAATTGGAAGTTGTATATTGACTGTTGGGAATTTAAATTGTGGGCTGTGACCCTTGTGAAGGAAATTGTGCAGTGCTGTTAAATGGAGTAAGGGCTGTGTCTATGTATATAAAAGAGAATTGTTGCATGTTAGGTATTAATTGATGCATGAAACAAAATGCTTATATAGTTATATACATAACATCACTATGTCTCTCTCTCTCCCCACCGTTGAAGTCTGAGTGACTCATTCATTTACTATTGCATCTTTATATATACTATTGCATCTTTAATACTTTTGAATCTTTAATACTTTATTAGGTGGGTTTTTTTTTTTTTTTTTTTTTTAACGCGCGCCTTGCTTCAGTCAGGCGCGCGCCTCGCCTTGCGCCTTAGGCTCCAGGAGGCATTTGCGCTTTTGTGCGCCTTGAGCCTTTAACAACTATGGTACCTTCCCATTTGTGTACTCCGTACTGTGGTCAGATCTGAATTTTTTGGTGATACTACCATACACTTGAACCATTGTCACAAAGTTTTTAAAAATGGTGTACCCTCATATTTGGTCTTCATGAGAGAGACCATTTAACACGGCTGTGATCATAAATGAACAATACAAAATATCAAAATCCAAGACTAGAAGTAGCTGGGGAAGGCCCCCAGACATATGAATTAACAAGATCAAAAGGTTTTGAGAGGGTATTTAGGATTTTGCTAATATCCTTTAGTTTGGTATCGGCGCCTTCCCGATTGCTTATTTGGGGCTCCCTTTGGGAACCGTGTAGAGGAAGACTTCAGTTTGGGATCTTGTGATTGGGCGGTTTGAGAGGCGACTCCTAGGGTGGAAGAAGCAGTATCTCTCAAAAGGGGGAATATTACTCTGATGACAAGTACTCTTTGAAACCTTCCAATTTACTTGATGACCCCTTTTATTTTTATTTATTTATTTTTATTTTTTTCTTAATTGGTGCTCACACACACATGCCTCCACCAAGTCTCGAACCCCCTGACCTCCCTTTGGGAAGTAGGAGCTTGGTACCACTAGGCTACGGCCTATTGGTACTTGATGTTCCTTTTCCCTACGCTGAAGTCTGCTATTCGAAGGTTAGAAGAGATTTAGAGGAATTTTGTATGGGGTGGCATTGAGGATGAGTTCAAATACCACTTGGTGAAGTGGGAGAAGGTATGTTCCCCTATCCAGAAGGGGGGCTCGGGCTTTTGGAGACTGGATTTAGTCAGCAAGGCACTCTTTGACAAATGGCTTTGGAGTTGGGAGGGAAAAGTCCTGTCCTTAGTGAGTGCATAAAAGATGTAAATTGAAAAACCTAACATGTATGAATGCATATGAATCCTTAATTTGGTGAGTGCATGCTAGTTTGGGTTGAATTTACCTTTTTGTCCTTGTTGAAGCTTTAAACTCTCCATTTTTCCCTTGTACATAGGTAACTCAACTGCCTAACTTAACTAATTCTTACAAGCTCTGTTTTGTACGGAATTTCCGAACTAAAGTCCTATTGGCCTAATAACCTCTCTGTTATGAGTTGTATTTCTTGTCTTGGACAATATCTTATTTTTGACCAAAAAATTGTTTCAATATTTTAGAGAAATGATTTTAAAAGGCGAAGAATCTATAAGGATGGAGTAAACTTGAATCTATAAGCATAGAGTAAACTTGTTACACTTCAAAATTGAGTTTTCCAGTCATCTCCTGTTTGGTGAAACTGGTGTTATTGAATAAATAAACAACTTTTTTGCTAATATTTTGTGATTGACCAATGTGGTTTATTTCTTTTCAGGGTGATGTTGGATGTGGGAAAACTGTGGTAGCTTTTTTGGCATGTATGGAGGTTGTTGGCTCAGGTTATCAGGTAGGCCACTGTAAAACTTCTATTCTTCATATTCTATATTAGTGATTATCATTGCTTATTCGATACTGTGATTAGTTTTATTTATTTATTTATTTTTTTGGATAAACAAAAGGTATGTTACCATTTAGGAGCAGTGTGTTTGTATTTGTTTCGTTATAGATCTTTTAAAATGTAGTCACTCAATTTTGAGCTTTATTGCATTTATTGAAAATGGATACAAAATGAGTAATTATGGTTATTTTACTTTGTTTCGCTTGTAGGCAGCTCTCATGGTTCCAACTGAGTTACTTGCCATCCAGCACTATGAGCACCTTCTTAATTTGCTAGAGAATGTGGAGGATGTACAGTGCAAACCTTCTGTTGCTTTGCTGACAGGCTCAACTCCAACCAAACAATCACGGTTAATTCGTCAGGTATGAATTGTAAAGATACTCTTCTGCAAGAGTTGATTGTGATTTTTTTAAAGATTCTTATCGATGCTATCATTGATTAACAGGGTCTCCAAACTGGAGACATTTCACTGGTCATTGGAACCCACAGTTTAATAGCTGAAAAAGTGGAATTTTCCACTTTACGCATTGCTGTGGTAGATGAGCAACACCGCTTTGGTGTGATCCAGAGAGGAAGATTTAACAGCAAGGTGGTTTTTCTTTGGACTTGCCTAAGAATAAATACCTGCTGTAGATAGTTTTACAATTAAATGTGGAGCAAGCATAATCGCTAAAAATTAGAAATCATCATTGTCTAATTATGGGTTGGTATTCTATCCTTGATTAATCTAAGAAACAAATTAGAATGATGTTTTATGTTTAGAGAATGTGGAGACATAACGGAACTCGATATCGATCTCTATAAAGAAATTTTAATTTTTTTTTTAGTTGACCTTCTAGGGAAAGTTGCTATAGAACTGTAGGAAATCCTACTCGGATACTGATGGACAATTTAGAATCAGATTATAGTTAAACAGAATTCATATATGAGTATGATGTTCCCTGTTATGCTGATAAGCATATAGAAAACAATTACACTTATCAAAAAAAAAAAGCATATAGAAAACAATTACAACTATGATACCGTTGTATAAGTAATTTTAGCGTTCTAATTTAATATTGGCAAGTAGCACAAATACGTGAGTTAGTCTACTGAGCTACTACAACTAGTCGGTACCCCAGAGATTTCTTGGGGGCCCTAAAACTCCCATCCTTTATCTTTGTATTTCTCATTTGTATGTTTACTGTCTGTCACTTACTCTTCTTTCTCAGTAATGCTATTTTAAACATTTACATATCGAAAAATGGTATTTTAAACATTTGAGAATAAGTTGTATCAGGCAAAATTCAGGAACTAATGCTCAATTATTTTGAATTCTCTGCAACTCTTGAAATTGATAGACGTTTTTGCAGTGACAATACATCAGAATTCTTAAATTTGTTTTCTGATGTTTCTCAGCACTATGTCTACTTTGTCTTTGATTGAATCTTGTACTGTAATTATAATTTTGTGTTCCCATGTTCTGTTTTATTTTGCCACTTGGCAGTTTCATACGGAGAACATGAAAGAAGAGAGATCCCTTTAATGGTTTTGAGGACTGTAAGTGAACAGGACCATTCCCCAAAATACTGCTGCTTTGAATTAGTTGGTTGATTGTAATAAGAACTGTTGAAAGAGAGAGTGAGAATATATGAAAAAGTATATATTATTAAGTGAGTAATACAATAATACAATGGTGTTTATATAGGACAAGCTACAGGAGTATGTGAGTGGAGAACAAGTAAACCTTATACATGGTAATACTATATATGGTAATGAGGGGTAGGTGAAGGTGGCTACAGAATACAATACTGTACAACATTCCCCCTCAAGTTGGAGAGTAAATGTCAGTGACTCCCAGCTTGCTACATATGGAATCAATAGAGTTCTTGTAAAACGCTTTAGTGAAGATGTGAGCTAGCTGTCAGCCAAAAGGAACAAAAGGTGTAACAATCTCGTCAACTTTAGAGCGAATGAAATGTCAATATACTTCAATGTGTTGAGTCCTCTCATGGTAGACTGGATTGCTAGCAATATGAATAGCTGCTTGATTGTCACAATGACGAGGAATTGGGTACTGGACTGAAATCCCAAGTTCTTGTAAAAGAGTCTTCAACCAAGCAATTCACATGCAGTGTGCGCTATGGCACGATTCTCTGCTTCAGCACTGGAACGAGCCACAACTAACTGTTTCTTACTCCTAAGTTACTAGATTTCCTCCTATGAAGGTGCAGTAACCCATGGTGGACCGTCGATCAGAAGGAGAACCAGCTCAATCTACATTTGTGTATCCCTCAATCTGAAGATGCCCAGAAGATCTATTAAGCAGACCACATCCTGAAGCACTTTTGAGATACTTCAAGATGCGTACAACTGCCTTCACGTGGGGTACCCAAGGATTGGTCATGAATTGACTGCATAGGAGATGTCTGGGCGAGTGATTGTGACGTAAATAAGTTTACCTACAAGTCTCCGATACATCTCTGGATCATCGAGTGAGTGGGTCACCATCATCCACCTTGAGTTTTACATTAGTCTCCATGGGTGTAGCTAAATGTTTTGAACCAAGATATCTAGTATCCTATAAGAGATCAAGGGTATACTTTCGCTGAGAGAGACATTAGCCTTGCTTCGATCGAGCCACCTCAATTCCTAGAAAATACCAAAGTTTGCCTAAATCCTTAGTAAGGATGTTAGAACTCTAGTGATGGATTAAAACTTGTGTTATATCTCTGTCACTGCCAGTGATAATGATATCATCTACATACACCACAAAAATCTTAATACCACGCTTTGTTTTCTTAAAAAAGAGAGAGTGATCAGCCTTGCTTCTGGTCATACCATGAGATACCACTGCTTCACTAAACTTATCAAACTATGCACGAGGTGACTGTTTGAGGCCATGCATATACTTCTTGAGGTGACACACACACTCCCCCTTAAACTAAAACCCAGATGGTTGAGCCATATAAACTTTCTCAGTAAGGTCACCGTGCAGAAAGGCATTTTTAACATCAAGTTGATGAAGTGGCCGGTCTAGATTATTTGCAAGAGATATTATCACATGAACAAAATTCAGTTTGGCCACAGGAGAGAACGTCTCAATATAATCAAGGCCATAAGTTTGAGTGTAGCCTTTAGCAGCAAGTCGAGCTTTAAAACGGTCAACAATACCATCAGGCCTTCTGTTTAACAGTGAAAACTACCAACAACTTGAGTGTCAGGGTTAGGAACAAGGTCCCAAGTATGATTCAATTTTAAAGTGTTAATTTCTTCTTCCATAGCTTTCCTCCACCCTCGATGAGAAAGTGCCTCCCTGTATGACTTAGGAAGAGCAATAAAGGATGATGACAAAGAAAAACTTGAAGGGAGAAGGACAATTTATCATATGATACAAAATTAGAGATAGGGTGATTGGTGCAAGACCTTTTACCTTTTCGAACAACAATAGATTAATCAAGATCATAGTCCGGAGAGATGGAAGAATCTCCAGGTGTTGAAGCGACCGGTGGAAGTGGCAAGGCTGGGTGTACTACTTTAGTCGTTGGAACATAATTAACTACTCTTTTCCGGCGATGAGCATAGACACGAAGGGTTGGTGGGATGTCAGAATCAAAACTAGAGTTGGAAGAATAGACTCTTGAAGAACAGAGTCCTCCAAACGATTGCCATCCTGGGAATAATAAGGAACATCCTCAAAGAAAGTTACATCTGCACACACATTGTTTTCGAAGAGTTGGACTATAACATTTATATCTCTTTTGAGTGCAAGAATAACCTAAGAAAATACATTTGTGGGCACGAGGATCAAGTTTGTCTCGTCGCGGGCTTAGATTATGAACAAAGCATACACACCCAAACACCTTTGGAGGAATGAAAAAAGGGTCGTTATTAAAAAACATCATTTGGAAGGGTGATTTTCTTGAAGGACCCTAGAAGGCATGCGGTTTAGAAGATAAGCAGCGACAAAAACCGCATCTACCTGAAAATGTTTTAGAACATGCATTTGAATTCTTAAGACACGAGCAATAGCTAGGAGTGGTCCATTCTTTCGTTCAACAATTCCATTTTGTTGAGGGGTATAACACAAGATGTTTGATGGATAATGCCCCTTGATTCAAGAAACTTTTGAAAAATATTAACTTTATATTCAAGGGCATTGTCAGTTTTAACAAGAAGTAATTTTGCATCAAATTGATTTTAAATTTCAGCATAAAAGGATTGAAAAACAGAGAACACTTGAGATCTATCTTTAAGAATATAAACCCAAGTTAAACACGAATAATCATTTATAAATGACACAAAATAACGAGCACCAAATAAACCAGTAGTACGAGCTGGTCCCAAACATCCCAATGTACTAATTCAAAAGATTTCATACTCTTATTATCAAAACAAGACTTAAAAGTAGCCCGACGATTTTTATTGAGTTCGCAAGTAGTGCATTTAAACTTAGAAAAATCAACTAAAGAAGGGACCAAGACTCGAAGACTATTTGAGGAGAGATGTGCAAGGCGGCAATGCCACTGATAAGCTGAAGAGGAGGTGGAATGTAAAGCTGTCGGAGCAAGAGTTGGCTGGAAGTAGTATAGACCATCCTTCTCAAACCCCCCACCAATCGTCTTCTTTGTCTTGAGATCCCGAAAGACACAACAGGAGGGAGAAAAAATAACTAAGCAATTTAAATCTGTTGTAAAGCATAAAACAGAAGTGAAGAGAGAAATGAAACACGAAGAATACAAGGATATTACGTGGTTCAGCCACTAGGGCCTACATCTACGGCACAAAGAGCCCAAAGGGCTACATCACTTTAATAATATATTCTCTCTCAATCTTTGTATATAATGATCACCTCTATTTATAGGTGAAAGAATATAGGTGACAAATATGGAAAATACATTAATGGAAGATTCCTAAAATCAATACTATAAATCACTCCAATCAATATTCTATCATAGGCTAAAATCTCTCCTATGATATTCTCATATCAAATATTCTGTCAAGGAGTAATTTATGGGTTCCTATAATAATATTTTCCAAATATAACATCTTCTGACACTCCCCCTCAAGCTTAAGGGTGTATGGAAATAACGCTCAACTTGCATATTAAATCATGAAACAGATTATTTTCCAATGATTTGGAAAAAGACAATAAAACTGCTAGAGACATAGTGAATGCAAAGAACAATGCTACCGAACACACTGGTAGCCCAAACAAGTCCACATAGCACCGAACACATGGCGAAGGTTACGGACAATGCTACCGAACACATCGGCAGCCTAAACAAGTCAATAAAAAAATGTCGGAGACACGGCAAAGAAGAAGACAATGCTACCGAACACACCGATAGCCCAAATAAGTCATAAATAGAACCGAGAAACCCTTAGCAACATTTCAGATACTAAAGGAATGCCCCAAAATAGGGGTCCGAACTTAGGAAGAGAAATTAGGCTTTGATACCATGTTGTAAAGCATAAACAGAAGTGAAGAGAGAAATGAAACACGAAGAATACAAGGATATTACGTGGTTCAGCCACTAGGGCCTACATCTACGACCCAAAGAGCCCAAAGGGCTACATCACTTTAATAATATATTCTCTCTCAATCTTTGTATATAATGATCACCTCTATTTATAGGTGGAAGAATATAGGTGACAAATATGGAAAATACATTAATGGAAGATTCCTAAAATCAATACTATAAATCACTCCAATCAATATTCTATCATAGGCTAAAATCTCTCCTATGATATTCTCATATCAAATATTCTGTCAAGGAGTAATTTATGGGTTCCTACAATAATATTTTCCAAATATAACATCTTCTGACAAAATCTAATATGATTTTGCAAACTGAGAATAAATTGAATGAAAATTGAGGGATATATAAAACTGATGAAAAAGTGAGACTCAAACTGTGGAAGGTACCAATTCCATGAACAAGTGATTTGGCACCATTCGTTACAGTAACAACCAATGGTGAGAAAACATGAGAGATGGGTTACCTGTCATGTGATCGGATGCCCCTGAATCAGAACCAAGGTGAGAAGATGAAGCATGGAGACATGTATTACCTGAAGTAACAATAGTAGCGGTGGAGGAGGAGAGCTGATTTAAACACTCACGCTTTACCAGAGGATCATACTTGGCTTGGGCAAAACAACTTGTTCATTCGTAGGAGTGGGAGTAGTCTTCTCCTGAACCGAAGCTTGATTATCCCTAGTTGGCTTGCCATAAGAAGCCCAAAGTGATTGTTTTCCACAATGAGTACACTTCTTGTTGTTGCGACCCACTCTACCGCCATGAGTACCACTGCCTGGGTTGGAAGGACCTCTCCCCCTTCGTCCTCCGTGGAAAGTATCATGTCGCTCAATGGGAACAACAAGAGCAGAGAGGTTTACCTTCTCAATCACAGGGGCTTGAATATATGCTCTTCGAACTCGAGCAAAAGTTTCATTAGCCGTGGGTATCTCCTTGCCATAAAAAATCTGCGAACTGATCGGAGGGAGTTCGGGTTTAAGTCCAGATAAAAATTTTGCCATTCGAAACTCCCCATGTGCCATTTCTGTTGTTCTAAATTATGTAGTCAATGGTTGGTAGACATTCAATTCTTCCCACATACCCTTCAATTCTGTCCTACATTACTTCAATTCTGAGTAATAATCTTCAACAGAACGATCTCCATGCTGGAAAAATATCGTGGTACAACTGATAAATATGAGAAATATTCTTCTCTGAAGAATACATGTTGAGATTTTCCAGATATCTTTGGCAGATTCTAGGAATGACACGTTTAAGATCTCAGGCTCTAAGCTATTCCATAACCAAGTTGTTACGACAAACGTAGCGAACCTAAGATGGAATCAAGAATCACGACAGAAAAGTAAACACACCACACAAAGAACATAAAATTTATACACGGTTTGGCAACAACGTACGTCCATGGTTGAGATCCGGCGAAAGCCTTCACTATGAGTAAAATCAGAGATTACAAGTTTTTAACCACTCATTTTGTTGCTGTACGAATTTCGGAGTCTCTCTGTTACACCACTTCAAACCCTAAGTGCCTTTATATATCGGGCTACAAGAGACTAATTAGGGTCCACGACCCATGGCAAAAACGGGTCGTCAGGTCGTAAGCGGGTCACAACGCGACTGGGCACCAAATTTGGGCCACAACATCACATAAGTCATAATCTAAGCAGCTTCTTTCTCCCAAGCCTCAATAATCTTTTCATCAGTGATGGGTTTGGTTGATTGAAGATAGGAAATTTTTCCTCGAGCCCGTAAGAATACCTCTACAACATGAAACCATTGAAAGTAGTTCAAGTTTCTCTGTTTGGTGCTGGTGATTGACCCAAGAAGATGAGTGTCCTTTGTATCCATAAGGGGGCTACCGAACAAGAGAGAGATAGGAGTGAGAGGGAGCTGAGATGAGATAGCCAAGATCAAGCCGGGATGAACCCGAGAGAGAAGTTTGAATAAGACTGTAAAAAAAATTAAATTAAAGAGGGATCGATTTCCGCTCTGATACCGTGTTGAAAGAGAGAATATTTTTAAGAAGTAAATATTAGTGTGAATAATACAATAATACAATGGTGTTTATATAGGAGAAGCTACAGGAGTAGGTGAGTGGAGAACAAGTAAACCCTACACTTGGAAATACTTTATATGGTAATGAGGGGTAGGTGAAGGAGGCTACAGAATACTGAAAATACTAACCCTAGTCTACAATGTAATGTAACTATAAACGTGGGACAACTCATACAATATTGTACAACAAGAACTTTATTACCAGACTACTCCTCATATCAAAGCTGGGCGACGTGGTGCATAAAAAAACGATACAAATAAAAAAACCAGGAAAGAGTCGCATAAGTTCTGCACTCGTTATACTCATGTTAAAAGATTTCTTTTTGATGGATTTGTTGTTTGACAAACGCAGCGAACCAATAACGAATCACGAGTCAAGATAGAAAAGTAAACATGTCGCACACAAAAAATACAAATATTTAGCATGGTTCAACACATGTTGCGTCTACATTCACATTGAAGATCCGGCAAAAGGTTTCTCTATGCGAAAATTAGGAGATTACAAGTTTTAGCCCCCCAAACCCCAACACATTAACCTGAGCCCGGCCCGAAATGAAATCAGGTTCGGGTTGGGCTTATCAATGTTGGGTTATCAATATCTCTTCCTTTTCAGCTCAAGCCCACCCGAGCCTGCCTGAGTTGCAGCCCTAGGATAAACAAATAAAGTTTGAACATTATGAATAAAATATCTTGTGTACTAAGCATGCAATGTATATGGATTTGTGTAATGAATAATACATTTCCAACTCCAAATAAGAATATCTTTCTCATTTCTGTTATAATATTTTAAGTGTAAATGTTCAATATTTGAGAAGTAAATTAAATTGATCATCAATACTGGGTTGAGTTAGAAGGAGACTATATTGCAGCTATTTTCTAGTGGTGTGACCATAACATTTTTTAAGTTCTTCATGTGCTTAATATTGAGAGGATGCTGGCTCCATGTTTAATTAAACACCTAAATTATTTGAGTGGCATAACTCCATGTCAATCATCTGTTTTAATTTTGTGATGTTTTGGCCGGAATTTGGTGCCGAGTCGTGTTGCGACCTGACGACCCGTTTGTTGAGCTTTGTGTGGGCCGAATATATAAGGGTGTTTAGGGTTTGGAGTGGGTTGTGAGAGACACACTGAAATTCGTATAGAATTGAGAGTGAGGGGCTGAAACTTGTAATCTCCGATTTTACACATAGTGAAGACTTTCGCCGGATCTCCACCGTGGACATAGGCTTTGCCGAACCATGTATAAATCTCTGTGTTCTTCGTGTGGTGTTTATTTTTTTTGTCGTGTTTCGTAATTGTTGTTTGGTTCGCTGCGTTTATCATAACGAAGTTTATTCATTTCAATGGAATATTGAGAATAAAATTAAACATGGATTCATCACCCTTGAAATTACTAAAGCACACTCTAGACCATAAAATATCACTTTGCTGTTGGTCTTTGTTATATTGTTGTATCCCTTCGAGTTTGCGGTTCTTCAACATTTCATTGTCATTTTTGACATTTCCATTGAAATGCCAATAATCTTCTCGATATAGTTTTGTTTTGTATGATTATTATTGAATTTTAGACATGTTGATTGATGTCTTGGCATTCTAGCTGCTATCTTTATATTTTAGTCATCTCTTTTAAACCCTGTAAATATATTTACTTGAGGCCTGTCCATATCTGATTTATTTATCCATTGTTGATCCAATTTTATAATATTGACCATGGGTAATTGTGGATCTGTCCAAAACTGAAGCTGTCGTCCCGTTGACTTGCTCCTTCCTTTATGGTTGACTCCAAAACTCTCTTTTTCATACTTCTATAATCAACAACTGTTCATTTATGAAGGAATGTTTAATGCACTTTTCCAAGCATTGTTCATTAATTTATTGCGCTATAGCATTGTGATCCTGGTCACTTCTGATTTCCTATATGACCTTTTTGTAACATGATCTATTACTGTCATTCTGCTATAACAGTTAGATCCTTGTGACTTTTGATTTTCTTTAAGCATTATTGAAGATTTAATGGAGGAATCAGTGGAGAAAAATCCTCGTTGTTTCCTATGTTCTAATTCATTCCATTTTCATAATTTCTTCTCCTATATAAAGGAGCCTCTACCATTGTATTGTGTATGAAATTGAGAGAGTACCTATGCTACATGGATTCGGGTACGGGTGTTAGAAATGGGTCTGTATTCATGCGTCGGACGTGTCAAATCTCCAAATAGAAGGACACACGGACACGGCTAAATATTCATTTTATTAATTATTTTATTTTATTTTCTAATGTAAAGTAATGTTTTTATCTAATATAATGTTCAATATAGGCTTTTAACTCATTTTAAAGAAATAATATAATGTAATTGAATGATTGGATATGCTTTTTAGTTTTTAAGTACATGTCCAACCAGAAGTGTCGGACACATATCCCATACCCATGTCTGAGGGATATGTGTCCGACATGGGTACTTCACTGCTTTTGAAGAGTCCATGTAAAAGAGGAAAGTACTATAAAAGTGATGTAGCCCTTTGGGCTCTTTGGGCCGTGGATGTAGGCCCTAGCGGCTAAACCACGTAATACCTATGTTTTTCTCGTTTAATTTATCTTCACATATGATTTATACTTTACAACAAGCATTTATTCCATTTTATAGTAGGAATTGATTGATGCTCTTAATATGTGCAGTTATATTATAACTCTGTAAGTTCAAGAATGGCCAGGACTAATTCAGATGGCTCCTCGAACGGTGATGCATTTATGGCTCCTCATGTTCTGGCTATGACAGCCACTCCAATACCAAGGACACTTGCTCTTGCTTTATATGGAGACATGTCATTGACACAGGTATTTGAGTTTAATATTTTGGTTATAGTTTGATGTCATGTTTGTACAAATGTTCCTATAGTTGAATGGTTTTCGTAAAAAATCATTTCAAATTTTTGGTTATTATAAAAGAAATGTGCTGATAAAATGAAAGGGGACCTCTACCCTTTGACATTATGGAATGGCTTATTTTTTGTGTTTTTACTACTTTTTTTAATCATTTTCTATTATTTATTTATTTATTTTTTGAATGGTAATTTCTGTTTTATGTTCTGAAGCCTAAAGTTTGGGTGTGGTTGAAAAGAGATATTAGGGGAGTGAGTTTGTCTGTCTTATATCTGCCAGTTTGTTTTTTGATACCCTGAGATAGAGTCCATGGAAAAAATTGAGGTCTGGTGCATGGTGTGTTAATGAAGTAGGCTAGAGCTAATCGATTTAGAAAATTGAGTGGTTGAACTACTTTCAAACAGAACTACTTTCAAGCTAGGGTTTGAAGACTGAAAGTCCAGTGCTATTCTAGTTGAATTAAGTTGGTGATTCATATAACTTTTGGTTACCTTAAGTTCTTATTTCATACTTTAAGTTCTTATTGACCACTGATGGATTCTCTTTGGTATCTTAATATGACAGATAACTGATTTGCCTCCTGGAAGAACGCCAGTTCAAACGTATACTATTGAAGGAAATGAGAATGGTTTTGAGAAAGTTTATCAGGTGAGTTTATTGAATATAATTACCGTCATTATTTCCTATTACTTAAAATGCATCTAGAACTCTCTCTATTTTTGTACACACACACACACATATATATATACACTTCATAAATGACTATTATGAATATTACAAATTGGTTTTTTCCTTATGGTATCCGAAATTTATCTCCAAAAGAGAAAAAATAAATTGTGTAATTGGTTGCCTCTAATTGAGTGCAGACACTTGTATTTATATTTACCAACTAGGGTTACAATAAAGTAATAAAATCAAATCAAATGAATTAAAATCCCTAATTAACAGTGATCCACTAATCACGGGACCTGAAATTACGGGGACAAAATAAAATGTGGATTCCAACACTTCCCCTCAAGCTAGCGCAAAGATGTCAATTAAACCCAGCTGGCCAATTGAGGACTGAAGTAAAGATGGCCCCACTGACTTAGTAAACACATCGGCTGTTTGATCAGATGAACGAACAAAACCGGAACAATAGCACCAGACCAAACTTTCGCTCGAATGAAGTGAATTTCAACTTCAATGTGTTTGGACCTCTCATGGAGAACAGAATCAGAAGCAAGCATGATAGTAGACTTATTATTACAAAACAATTTAGAAGAATCTTCAGTGCCATAGCACGATATTCAACCTCAGTGGATGACCTAGACACTACTTGCTTGCTTCTTATTTTTCCATGATATAAGTGGAATGCCATAGAAAGTACAGAATCTAGAAGTAGAACGCGTGTCTAATTTGGATCCTCAATAATCTGCTTCTGGAAAACACGACACTCCAGATGGATAAAATAAGTCAAAGCCAAGACACGTCTTGAGATATCTCAACATATGGTAGATTGTATCCAAATGTGATGAACGCGGAGCATGCATAAACTAACTTACAACACTAACTGCAAAAGTAGAATCTGGCCTGGTATTCGTTAGGTAAATGAGACAACCAATGAAATGTTGATACACAGAAGCAAGTAACAAGATTCAGCAGAAAGTTTAAGATTCAGATTCATAGGAGTAGAGGCAGGTCTACACCCTATCATTCCTGTTTCCCGAAGAAGATCCATAGTGTACTTATGCTGAGACAAAGATATGCCATAACTCGACTGAGCAACCTCTATATCAAGAAAATACCGCAAGGGACCCAAATCTTTTATATCAAAGAACTAACCCAAATCCTTCTTAACCTGAGCAATTCCAGAGGCATCATTTCCCGTGATAAAAATATCATCTAATAAGAAGCACGGACATGGATATGGGACACGGATATGACACGACACGGACATGGCGACACGGCAAATCCAAAAAAATTAGGACACGGACACGGTGGGGACACGGCGAATAGTATATATATCTATATATATATATATATATATATATATATGATGTAGTATTTGAAAAATTACTGAGTGTTACTATTTTTCATCAGTCGCACAATGAATAAAATACACAACTCATAACTCATAACTAATAAACTATAAAAGAACAATGTTGCAGAGTTATAAAACCAAATAAAAAACAGGACATTAGAATAATAACTAGTATCATTTAATTACAAGTTTAAAATTATTATGTACTGACCACATAAGTGAGTAAAAGTTGTTAAATAACTTCACATATTTATACTTTAACCCAATTTTCTTTCAAAAATTATCTTTTAGACCCCCGAAAATAAGACACGCGTGTCGGATAGACACCCCTGGCGTGTCGGACGCGTGTCCGTGGAGTGTCCGTGCCATGTCTGAGCCGTGTCCGAAAATTTGAAAAAAATACTAATTCCAGACACATTTTTTGGCGTGTCCAACACGTGTCGGGGCGTGTCCTCCAAGTGTCGGTGTCGGACACGGATTCTTCGCCCATTTTGGTGTGTCCGTGCTTCCTAGATCATCTATGTAGACTGAGATAATAATACATCTATCATTCATGTGTCTCCAAACAAAGCACGTATAATCAGTGTGACACTGTATAAAGTTCATTCCCATAATAACAACACTAAACCGACAAAACCAAGCTCTTAGAGACTGATTTAGGACATAAAGAGACTTCTGCAACCAACAAACCTTACCCAAATAATCCCCCTCAGCCTGAACACCTGGTGGCAGATCCATATAGATGATCTCTTGTAAATTTCCATTAAGAAACACATTTTTGACATCCTGGCCAGGAATGAGAAGATGCCAGTGACACTTGATGGCGAACAGTTGTTAACTTAGGAATTGGAGCAAAGATAGCATTAAAGTCCTTCCCTGGAATCTGAGTAAATCACTTAGCAACCAAGTGAGCCTTGTACCGATTAATAGATCCATCAGCCAAGTATTTAAGTGTAAAGACCCACTTACACCCCATTATTTTAGCCCTAACAAGTAAAGAGATAAGTTTCCAAGTTGGTTTTTCTGAAGAGCATCCATTTATGTTGGGCGGCGGAAGCGCGCGAATAACGAGATCAAAAGAAATCCAACAAAGGAATCACACAAAGCACAAGATATAATGTGGTTCAGCCAAAATCGGCTTACATCCACGGATGAGGAGAGATGTAGAAATTCTGCCTCATATATTAACATATTCTGCCTCATATATTAACATTAACATCTTGTACAAGTATATAGGAAAGAGGGAAAGCTATACTAGGAAAAGAATAAAGAATATTCCTACAAATTTGTTCCTAATTTAAAGCAATCAATCTATCCTATTTTACTGCAATCAATCTGTCATACAATCTTGTTCTAATTTACAAAAGTCAGAAATCAATCAAATCCCTAAAATCAAGGGAAATTATATATATATCTTCAAAAACTCCCCCTAAAGCTAGAGCATAGATGTCTTGAATGCCCAGCTTGTCAAGTGCCAAATTGAAAGTCGTACTTGACACTTCCTTTGTAAAAAATATGCAAGCTGATGTTCTGTCTTCACAAACAGAGTGCAAATTAATCCACCTATCAACTTCTCCTCGATAAAGTGTCTATCCACTTCAACATGTTTAGTACGATCATGCTGAACTGGATTGTGAGCAATGCTAATGGCAGCTTTGTTATCACAGAAAAGCTTCATCGGATCCCTAGAATTAAAGCCCAGCTCCTTTAACAAAGCCTTCAGCCACAACATCTCGCATATACCATGAGCCATGGCTCTAAATTCTGCTTCAGCACTGGATCTGGTCACAACAGATTGTTTCTTACTACGCCACGTGACTAGATTCCCTCCCACAAAGATGCAGTATCCTGAAGTTGATCTTCTATCTATTACACATCCTGCCCAATTAGCATCTGTATATCCTTCCAGTTCGAGATTACCATGGTTGGAGAATAGCCAGACCTTTCCAGGAGCTGATTTTAAATACTTGATAATCCTATTTACATCCAACTTGTGTGCTTCGTAAGGAGCATGCATGAACTGACTTTCTACACTCACCGCATAGGCTATGTCAGGGCGAGTATGTGCCAAATATATTAGCTTCCCAACCAACCTTTGGTATCTCTCTCCGTCTATAGGTGTATCATTTGTGCATTCACCTAACCTGTGATTTTGTTCAATTGGAGTATCAACAGGTTTGCAAGCCAACATTCCAGTCTCAGCCAATAAGTCTAAGACATATTTTCCTTGGGAAATAAAGATCTCCTTCTTTGACCTAGCCCAAAAAATATTGTAAAGTCCCAAGGTCTTTGATCTCAAATTCTTTTGCTAGATATGCTTTCAGCTTACCCATTTCCTTACCATCACTACTAGTCACAACAATATCATCCACGTACATGATTAAGGCAGTAATCTTACCTCCAAGTGAATGTTTGAGAAAGGGATTGTGATCCGACTGGCTCTGGTGGTATCCATATTTCTTTATGGCCTGAGTAAACTTGCCAAACGAAGCTCTAGGTGACTGCTTGAGTCCATACAAGGATTTCCTCAATCTGCATACCTTTCCTCTTTTAGAGGAATTAACAAAGTCTGGAGGAAAGTCCATGTATACTTCTTCCTCTAAATCGCCGTGAAGAAATGCATTCTTCACATCAAACTGCTGAAGAGGCCACTCTAAATTTGTAGCCAAGGATAAGTGGACTTCGCTACCGGTGCAAATGTTTCCTGATAGTCTATCCCATAGGTTTGGGTATAACCTTTAGCTACCAATCTTGCTTTGAACCTCTTCACTGAACCATCTACCTTATACTTCACTGTGAATACCCATTTTCATTCAACTGTCTGCTTTCCCTTTGGTAGCTCAACAAGTTCCCATGTAGAATTTTTCTGTAAAGCTTCCATTTCTTCAATCATGGCAGCTTTCCACTTGGGGTTGTCAAGAGCTTCCTGTAACTTATTAGGGACAGACACAGATGATAACTAGTTTGCAGATATTTTATAAGATGAAGATAAACGATGTATTGCGATATGGGAGTAACAACTGAGAACCCAAGTCCCCCAACTGACCTTGTAAGCTGTATAAGAGCTATTTTTCTCCATCCTCTGCTTTTGCCTGTGCTTTCGCACCATACCTCACTACTAACATGTATCGGTGACTCTTTCTTGTCATCTAATCACAACCTGCAAAACTACGGAAGTCAGATGTGGACCATTGACAGCAGAGCAGTCAGAAACATAAATTATTGATATCTAAGTGCTTATGTGATAACCTATTAAGTGCTGAAAGTCGAAAAGGTTTTAATGGTTTATACATTAAATGTGTTTGATAATGCACAATTACTTACCATTTAAACATCATTTTCAACTTACAAATGGTCCGAATATTCAGTGTTAGACACTTGACATTTTATTAAGTACCATATCACTGAACAAACTTAGCAGAAGCTGTTCTGTTTAAATTAAATTTGAATTGACAATTTATTCCCCATATTTTGCAGCACCTTATTTTCTTCAGTACCAAAGTTTTCTCCAAAAATTTTTCAGTACCACCCCAAATTCACCTACTGATTGTAATGTATAATCTTTGCACCTTTAATTTCTTAAAAGTTATCTACTACATTCCAGCATGATTGATGAAGACAATGCATGGTCTTAGTATATACACACACAGAACATTTTGATATCCAGTGATACTCAGCCGCTTTTCTGTCAATCATATTAAAAGCCACTTACCTTCTGGATCTCTATAGACACTAAATTTACCTTGACATGAAGATTGCATACTTCAGATAATTTACATGCTGTCATGCTGCTTTTTGGAGCAGTTTATGTAAAGAATGCATGAACTGGAGAACAATGTCAACAGCAAAGTATATAGCTTGCGGGTTCAGTAACGAGCATAGAAGTTTGCAGTATCTGCATAGATCACTAGATGATTCACCTTAGTTTTTGTTGCCTTTTCTATTTGATTTCTCAAGGTTCCCAATTTGTTGGGTGCCTAACACACTGTTCTGCTTTAAAACATTTTTACTATATTTCTCTGGATAAGATATTGTATTGCTTGACCAATCTACTAGGCCTTTTAGCATAAAAGTTACCTCGGTTCAGTCAGTTGCTCAAAAAGCCAGCTTTAATGAGTTTTTAGGTTATTACTTCTGAACTTATTCCTCCCATTACTAACATCTTCACCATTTTATTACCAGAATAGTGGAGCCGCACAGTTGAATTAGTTAATGGTTCACAAATGATGCTGATAGTACTTAATTTTTTGAAATTCTGTTGGAGACTGCTTTTTTTTTTTTTTTTGATAAGTAAGATTTTATTAAAAACGCTCAAAAGGGTGGCGGAACCCAAAGAAACAAAAGGGCCAAAGGGCGCCTTAGACCTTCAGAGAAGCCATATAAACAATAATCTCCTCTGTAGATCTATAATCTCTCTCTGAAACCCAACAAAAAAGAGTAGAAATAACAAAGAACTAAAGCATAGAAACAGACTTCTTTTTTCCATCAAAATATCTCCTATTTCTCTTGAGCCAAATACACCACCAAATACAAAGCGGTGTAGCCCTCCAAGCATCCTGAATGGAAGCCCCAACAGAGACGCCTCTCCAAGCCTCAATCAACCCTCTAGAGGAACAAGGCATAGGCCAATGGACCCCAAATAAACCAAGCATCAAATCCCAACAATCTCTGGCCATGCTGCAATGTAAAAGGAGGTGATCAACTGACTCCTCATTGCACAAGCACATATAACAATGATTGACCACCACCTGATTCCACCACCTGCTTTAACCTAGAGCATTTATAAAGTTTACATCTATATGTAAAGTTATGAAAGAAGAGAATGTGATTCTGTAAATCCTACTGCCAATTAAAAGTAAATCAAAATTCTCTTTAGATATGAATTTGGTCATGGGCATGCATGTGAAATGTACTGAAATGTGAATGGGGTTGGTGATTGTGACTACTTAAGGGAATCTGAACACAAGGACCTGGGTTCGTGTTCTCTCTCCGTATTTTTTTTTCCTGAATGTGGTTATTTTATTGATACAGTAAAATGGTACAAGAATACAAAATGAGAGGATAATTAAAACCTCAAAACAAATCCAACAGTCTTGAAAAGACCTTTAAAAAAGCAAGAAGAGCAGACTAAGACAGATTACAAAATGTTGTCCAAGTCTCTCTGTTTTCTACAGCATGGATTTTAGGTGTATCTTTATATGTGGGCCTTTCTGGGGAATAATAGACAAATGTTTTCAGTGGCCAATTAAAAAAGGTAAAAGGCTGTTATATGAAGATTATAACTGTCTTTGGTTGTCAGTGAATCTTAATTCACCAAATATTGAACATAATGATAAATTCATTGCATATGTCACAAAAAAAAATGCGAATATTCTTCGACTCAGTTCAGAAGGATGCCAACATCGGCTCAGATTTAGGTGTCCGAAGTTGTTGGCTTTTTAGGTACGTGGTAAGCCAACATGTGACAATTACTCATTGGTCCTTGTTGCATTTTAAAATTATGGTTTATCTGAAAATAAACTACTTGCATCTCTTGATATCTTCAGGAAGGATGAACCTTTCAGTAATTCATAATATTAACTGTATCAAATTTTAACTTTGGCAGTGTAATTGTAACGAATCATTTTATCTTACTGATATCAAGGATTTTAATATAACAGATGGTGCTGGATGAATTAAAAGGAGGTGGAAAAGTTTATCTAGTGTATCCAGTTATTGAGCAGTCTGAGCAACTGCCTCAGCTTCGTGCTGCTTCAGCTGATCTTGAAATAATATCTAGTAGGTTCTCTGGTTACAAATGTGGGTTGTTACATGGAAGAATGAAGAGCGATGAGAAAGATGAAGCGTTGAGACAGTTTAGATCCGGAGATGTTAATATACTGCTTTCTACTCAAGTAATTGAGATTGGTGTTGATGTTCCTGATGCATCTATGATGATTGTTATGAATGCTGAGAGATTCGGAATAGCTCAACTCCACCAACTCAGAGGGCGTGTTGGACGTGGAGTAAGGAAATCCAAGTGTATACTAATTACATCTACAGCCAGTAGCCTAAGCCGGTTAAAGGTGCTGGAAAAATCATCGGATGGTTTCTACCTGGCAAACATGGACCTTATTTTACGTGGGCCAGGTGACCTTCTTGGGAAGAAACAGTCCGGACACCTTCCTGAGTTTCCTGTTGCTAGATTAGAGATAGATGGAAATATTCTGCAAGAAGCACATCTTGCTGCACTGGTAATTACTGTTCCACTAAACTGCCTTATTCTCAGATGCTAGGCAGTAATGATGAATTTGTTAAGTCTCTTTATAAATTATTTCTAACTTCAAATAAGGATAATTTAAACTGTTATTCGCTGGATGATCTTTTTCTTGTGTTGTTTGTTTGTCAATATTGACTATGTTTATGAGGTTTATCCCTCTGCTTTCTTCCATTTGATGGTCAGACTATTGTTCATACATATTTGAATAGAGAAATATATACAAAACAAAGATATATACATATAGAAAATCATCTACTCTCACGTAAAACAAAGTATGCAAACATATCTAATATTCTTGGCTGCGATTTTGATTTCTATGCCAAAGTGCATGATTTGTGTGTTGTGTATGATATGGAAAGTGAATTAAATTACATGTGCTGATAATTAAACTTATGCATTCAGTCATACCCACATCTGAAGTTCTTGTTAATTTTCTTTGTTGTACAGTATTGTATGAGTTGTCACACGTGTACAATTAGTATTGTATGAGATGTCACCTACCCCTCATTACCATATATAGAATTACCATGTATAGGGTTTTCTTGTTCTCCACCGTAGCTTTTCCTATGTAAACACCATTGTATTATTGTATTACTTACTCAATAACATATAAGTTTTCATATATTCTCTCTCTCTCTCTTTCAACATGGTATCAGAGCAGGTTTATCATACCATACTCTATACTCGTCTCCGATCTACGGATCAACTCGTCTCCGATCTTTGGATCACTCGCTCGGATCTTTGCTCGCTTCGGACTCTCAACAACTTCGTACTTAGTTTCAAGTTGGACACTTAAGTTAAAATCTTCGTGTACCAACTTAAGGGAGGGTGTTGGAGAATATTATTATAGGAACTTTAAATTACTCCACATAATATTACTCCAAAAATATTGTGGGAGTGATTTTAGTCTATGATAAAATATGATTGGAGTGATTTATGGGATTGATTTTTTGAATCCTTCATGAATGTATTTTTCATATTTATCGCTTTATTCTTTCACCTATAAATAGAGGTGCTCATTGTAAACAATCTTAAGAGAGAGTATAATAAAGATATGCAACCCTTTGAGTTTTGTGTGCTATGGATGTAAGCCCTAGTAGCTGAACCATGTATATTCTCATGTTCCTCATTTTCTATTTCTCTTCAACTTTGACATGGTATCAAAGCGGAAATCAATCCCTCTTTAAATTTTTTTTTAGTCTTATTAAGACTCCGATCTTGATTCCATCTTAACTTTCTCTCTATCTCTTCTCGACGATCTCTCCTCAGTTATCTCAGTTCTCTCAGCAATCTCGCTCGGATCCCTCCTCGGCTCTCTCCTCGATAATTTCTCTCGGGTTCATCTCGGCTAGATCTTGGTTCTCTTTTCTTGGCTCCCTCTTGCTATTATATCTCATTTGTTTGGCAGCTCTTGTGATGGATACTAAGGAATCCCATCTTCTTGGGTCAATCACCAACACCAAACTGGTAAAGCGTGAGCGTGCAAATCAACCCTCCACCACTACTATTGTTACTTCAGGTAATACGTGTCTCCATGGTTCATCTTCTACACCTTGGATCATTGATTCAGGGGCATCCGATCACATGACAGGTAACCCATCTCTTCTTTCTGATATCTTTCATGTTCTCACCATCTGTTGTTACTATAGCGAATGGTGCCAAATCACCTGTTCATCGAATTGGTACCTTCCGCACTTCGGGTCTCACTTTTTCATCAGTTTTATATATCCCTCAATTTTCATTCAATTTATTGTCAGTTCGCAAAATCATATCAGATTTAAATTGCTCAGTTACTTTTTGTCCTTCCCGTTGTGTTCTTCAGGATTCTCAAGACGAAGAAGACGATTGGTGGGGGGTTTGAGAAGGATGGTCTTTACTACTTTCAGCCAACTACTGTTCCGACAGCTCTACATTCCACCTCTTCTTCAGCTTACCAGTGGCATTACCGCCTTGGACATCCCTCTTCAAATAGTCTTCGAGCCTTCGTCCCTTCTTTAGTTGATTTTTCTAAGTTTAATTGTACTACTTGTGAACTTAGTAAACATCGTCGGGCTACTTTTAAGTCTCGTTTTGATAAAAGTTTAAAACCTTTTGAGTTAGTACATTCGGATGTTTGGGGACCAGCTCGTACTACTGGTTTATTTGGTGCTCGTGATTTTGTGTCATTTATTGATGATTATTCACGTTTGACTTGGGTTTATATTCTTAAAGATAGATCTCAAGTATTCTCTGTTTTTCAATCCTTTTATGCTGAAATTCAAAATCAGTTTGATGCAAAATTACTTGTTCTTAATGTTTTTCAAAAGTTTCTTGAGTTGGGGGGGATTAGCTGCTGGAGTATAAGGGGGAGTGTGTGTGCATATACTGTGGGAGTGTGCATGAACTTGCTGACAATTCCCACAGTATATGCAATATCAGCCCTAGTATGGGATAAGTAAATGAGCTTTCCAACTAATCGTTTGTACCTCTCCTTTTCCACCATTGGGCTTAGGGTCAAGCTTTGTACAAGTCTACCCCAACTGCTGAACAAAGCACACACACCCGAAGACTTGCGGAGGAATAAAAAAACAGAGATGAATTGGGATGTAAGATTGAGAGTGGGGCTGCAAAGTTAAGAACCCTAAAAGGAGTTCTATTAATGATATAGACAGCTGTAAGAACTGCATTTCCCGAGAACATTCATGCCAATGCAGATTGCTCTGGCTAAGTCAAGGATGTGGCAATTCTTTCTCTCAGAACGGCCATTTCGTTGAGGGGTTTTAACATTAGACATTTGATGCTCAATCCCAAATTTTGTACATAACCATTGTACCTCCCCATAAGTGTACTCCGTAGCCTAGTCAAATCTAAATTTTTTAATGGTACGACTATATTGAGTCTAAACCATTGTCATAAAATTTTTAAAATGGTGTACACTTCATTTTTGGTTTTCATAAGATAAATCCATGTAACACGACTATGATCATCAATGAACAACACAAAATATTGAAATCCAAGGCTAAAAGTAATTGGGCAAGGACCCCACACATCTGATTGAACAAGATCAAAAGGTGTTAAAGCAGATTTATTACTACTAGCTGGATAATTAGAACGAACATGTTTAGTCAGGTGACACGTCTCACCCACAGAAATTGAGCTAAGAGAATTAACAGTCGAGGATCCTAAATCTACCATAATCTGTCACACGACAATAAACAACTCCAAAAAACACCATAAATTCTATTAATAATTCAAAGGGTCTCATCAGACCATAAATAATAACAATGTCTCCTTAGACCATTCCCGAAAAGTCCAAATACAAACTTTTTTCAGGGAGCGTTGCCCGCTTGAATATAGCCAGACAACCTCTTTAATATCCGAAACCTCTCTGTAGACTCAAAATTTTTTACCCAAGCCCTTCTAGGTGTTGGAGACCAACTATCCCAAGTTACCCAACCCTAGAAGAGTAAAAAAGGAATTGTAAAACTTAAAAATACCTGTTTTCGATCGCAAAACTGCAACACAGAAAAACATGTGTGGGCAACGTCACAAGATGTCACAAACAACCTAAGATGGCTGTCGCACAAGTGTCAAGGCTGCTGAAGGTGTGGACAGGTGTTGGCTTTGATACCAAGAAGAAGTATAAAAAGAAGAAAATGAGAGAATTGTGTAATGGGCTTGAATGAGATTAGTCACCCATTCACAACTATAGTATTTATAGATATAAAAGAGCACATACTCATATTACAAGAAAGAAAATAAAATAAAATCTAAATCAAATCACAGCATATTCTATATCATATTTTATAACTTATGGCATATTTTATAGCATAATTAAATCTCTACTAATACGTTAAGTCATTCCATAAAACATGCCTATCATATCTGCTAACACCAATAGATCGGTTTTCTTGAGCAAATCAAGGATATAATTCCTTTGGGACAGAAAGATTCCTTTTTTTGACCTTGCAACTTCTATTCCCAAGAAATACCTTAGATTTCATTTACCAACTCCTTAGTGCTTCCTGAATGTTTCTTAGAACAAACAAGTGAGAAATATTTGAAGTAAAGGCCCTATGTTTATAGGAAAGTTATCATAAGACAAGTATTTGGCAATGGGATGCTGGGTATAGGTTGGGTTCCTTTTCTAACAGCTATAGGGATATCAAGGTCTACAGGAACTTGGCTAGGTGACTCTGTACGATCAGAAATAGTAGGGACAACTGCAGACAAGTTAGGATTTAGTGTACCTTGAGTGTTCAGGGAGTCGTTGTTCGAGACCTCTGATTGGCCTTGCTCAGGTTCAATAATAGGCTCTCTACTCTTTTGACGAGTCTTTTTCGGTTTTTTTGGGGCCGTTGGTAGAATTTCTCCCCCTGTTAGAGATACAGTAAGGCTCAGCAAATTAGGACTAGGAGGCCTCGGGTTGCCAGATTCTAGAACATCATTTCCCTGTTTAAAAAGATCAGTGTTCGGAGTAATAAAGTGTGAGACAATAGTTTTAGGTAAGGGAATATTAGTAGAAATCTCCCAAAAGTTTTCTTCACTCTCTTTCTCCCCCTGAAGAAAAGTTTTCTGAAAATAAAGATGATTTTCTAGAAACAAGACATCCATACTGATAAAAAAAAATTTTGTTTTCGGATTGAAGCATTTGTACCCCTTTTTATTCGGGGCATACCCAATAAATACACATTTTTCAGCCCAAGGATCCAATTTAGACCGAAGTCTACTAGGTAAATGGACAAAGACAGTGCACCCGAATACGAATACTTTCAAAGGCAGGTTGGAATAGATCCGAGTTTCAAGAAAAAAAAAAAATGTAAGGCTTTCGAGGGGTGTAATATAGTTAAGAACACGAATAGACATCCTGTTAATCAAATATGATGTTGTTAAAACGGCTTCACCCCACAAATACTTAGGAACATTCATTGAAAACATGATGGCACGAGAAATTTCAAGTAAATGTTTATTCTTTCTTTCAGCAATTCCGTTTTG